GCCGTGGGGCAGATTTGGGTGCCGTGGGGCAGGTGTGGGTCCCGTGGGTGCTGTGGGGCAGGTGTGGGTGCTGTGGGGCAGATTTGGATCCTGTGGGGCAGGTGTGGGTGCCATGGGGCAGGTGAGGGTCCCGAGGGTCCCGTGGGTGCTGTGGGGCAGGTGAGGGTCCCCTAGGGCAGATTTGGGTGCCGTGGGGCAGATTTGGGTGCCGTGGGGCAGGTGTGGGTCCCGTGGGTGCTGTGGGGCAGGTGTGGGTCCCGTGGGGCAGGTGAGGGTGCTGTGGGGCAGATTTGGGTTTCATAGGGCAGGTGTGGGTCCCGAGGGTCCCGTGGGTGCTGTGGGGCAGGTGAGGGTGCCGTGGGGCAGGTGAGGGTGCTGAGGGTCCCGTGGGTGCCGTGGGGCAGGTGAGGGTCCCATGGGTGCCATGGCGCAGGTGAGGGTGCTGAGGGTCCCATGGGTGCCATGGGGCAGGTGAGGGTGCTGTGGGGCAGGTGAGGGTCCCATGGGGCAGGTGAGGGTCCTGAGGGTCCCGTGGGTGCCGTGGGGCAGGTGAGGGTCCCGTGGGTGCCGTGGGGCAGGTGAGGGTGCTGTGGGGCAGATTTGGATCCCGTGGGGCAGGTGAGGGTCCCATGGGGCAGATGTGGTTGCTGTGGGGCAGATTTGGGTGCCGTAGGGCAGGTGAGGGTGCTGAGGGTCCCATGGGTCCCATGGGGCAGGTGAGGGTGCTGAGGGTCCCGTGGGTGCCGTGGGGCAGGTGAGCGTCCCATGGGGCAGGTGTGGGTCCTGTGGGTGCTGTGGGGCAGGTGAGGGTGCTATGGGGCAGATTTGGGTCCCAGAGGGCAGGTGTGGGTCCCAAGGGTCCTGTGGGTGCCGTGGGTGCTGTGGGACAGGTGAGCGTCCCATGGGGCAGGTGTGGGTGCCATGGGGCAGGTGAGGGTCCCATGGGTCCCATGGGGCAGGTGTGGGTGCTGTGGGGCAGGTGAGGGTGCTGTGGGGCAGGTGAGGGTGCTGTGGGTGCTGTGGGGCAGATTTGAGTCCCATGGGGCAGGTGGGGGTGCCATGGGGCAGGTGAGGGTCTCGAGGGTGCCGTGGGTGCTGTGGGGCAGATTTGGGTCCCATGGGGCAGGTGTGGGTCCTGAGGGTCCCGTGGGTGCCGTGGGGCAGATGTGGGTGCTCCGGGGCAGATTTGGATCCCGTGGGGCAGGTGTGGGTCCCGTGGGTCCCATGGGGCAGGTGTGGGTGCTGTGGGGCAGATTTGAGTCCCATGGGGCAGGTGAGGGTTCTGAGGGTTCCGTGGGTGCCGTGGGGCAGGTGTGGGTGCTGTGGGGCAGATTTGAGTCCCATGGGGCAGGTGAGGGTTCTGAGGGTTCCGTGGGTGCCGTGGGTCAGGTGTGGGTGCTGTGGGGCAGATTTGAGTCCCATGGGGCAGGTGAGGGTTCTGAGGGTTCCGTGGGTGCCGTGGGTCAGGTGTGGGTGCTGTGGGGC